CTGAAATACACTTGTGTGTTAGCGCAGGTAACAAGTCCTGGTTTTGTGATAGCATGGAGACAGGTGTATGTGTGTAAGTTCCCACCTTTCTCCAGTCCAGGCACAAAGCTGTCTAAGGCATAATTAGCTGGGGTGTCATGTTTCATGGCAGACTATTAAGCAGCTGCTGAATTGCTAGCTCAGTTGGTAGCCTCAGAGACAAAAACAACCTTTGTGTTTCGCATCATAACCATGCAGCTTTTTTGGGGGGGGAGGGAAGGAAATATAAGCTTTTTGCCTGTGATGTCCACATAGGCCTGACTTATTTCTCTCATGTTGATATGCCGCTTACCTGAGAGTTGGCTTGTCCCATCTCATCACTGGAGCTGATTACTTAGTATGGTTATTTCTGTATTTTTTTTTTTAAGGAAGCAAGTGAAGAAGTTGAACGTTTGCAGCAGCTGTCAGAAAGATTCCCTGAGTCCTAGAGCATTCAGCAAAAGGGGAAAAAAGGGAGCATGAGAGGATGTTCCTGGGAATTGTGATTGTCAACAGGAAATCCAAGAGCCTCACTACACATGACTATCCTGGGCAGCACACTTCAAGCACACGCAACATCTGCAGGGCTTTCTGAGTCGGAGTGGAAAGGGTTTGTTCACACAAGGCTTTTCCTGGGGCCGTATCTGTCAGAGCGTGGTGGACCACTGCCGTGTTTCTGCTTTATTCTGGACACCCTGGGAATCGGCAAGGTTATCCTGCCTGCTGGCCCCTCTCTATACTCTATCCTTCTGTGCCCACTGTAGTAGACTAACTCGGCTGAAAGGAGAAGGGGACAAGGTACGGCTCCGGCCAACAGCTGGCAGCCAAGTGCTCTCCAGACCCCAGGCAGATCTGGGGCACTGCAGATATGGACACTGAGCTTCTGTGGCACCTTCTTGCGTTGGCCTGGTCTGGTGAGTGGGAACGAAGACTTCCTTTTGAATGTAGTTTACATCATCCTGGAACTGGTCATTGCAGTACTGGCCATTCTGGGGAACACCCTGGTCTGCTGGGCAGTCTATCTCAACAGCAACCTGCAAAATGTCACCAACTTCTTTGTGGTGTCGCTGGCTGCGGCCGACATTGCGGTGGGCGTGCTGGCAATCCCCTTTGCCATCACCATCAGCACTGGCTTCTGTGCCTTCTTCTATGGCTGCCTCTTCATCGCCTGCTTCGTCCTGGTTCTGACCCAGAGTTCCATCTTCAGTCTCCTGGCTATTGCCATTGACAGAATCATTGCTATCAGGATACCTCTCAGGTAAGCCCAGAGCGGGCGGGAGCACAGGTGCAGTGGGCATTGCCAGGGTGCCCTAGGTGCTGTAATCCAGGAGGAAGAGAGAGAGCTGAAGGGAACAACTCCACTCTCACTGCAATCTGAAAATACTTCTTAGGCCTCCAAACTTGTCCCTGCCTGCTGGATTTCTTGGATGTTTGCACATCTATCGCTAGCTCCTCCTCATCTCTCATAAGTATATGCCCATGGGATTACCTGCACCCTGCCTAGGGGGCTAATGTTCTGCACTGAGATTCATAGCTTCATAAGCACGGCCGTACTGGATCAGACCAACGGTCCATCCGGCCCAGTGTCCTGTCTCCGACAGTGGCCAATACAGATGCCCCAGAGGGAGGGAACACAACAGGGAATCCTCACGAGATTCCTCCCCATTTCCAGACAAACAGAGGCTGGGGACACCATTCTTACCCATCCTGGCTAATAGACATTGATGGACCTAACCTCCAGGAATCTATCTAGCTCTTTTTTGAACCCTGCTAAGGTCCTGTCCTTCACCACATCCTCTGGCACGGAGTTCACTGTAAGGCTTTGCATTCTGCGTTGAAGCAGAAAGATCACTATAGGAAAGCAGGGCACAAAAGGGAGGTCCTTTGTATCGCCCCGTTGTGGACAGCAGGGGCTCTGTCTGGGAGGTGGAGATCCGCTATTACAATGGGATTTTCGAAGGAGAACTTGTGGACGGGAGTGGGAGGCATTCTCTGGGGGAGGAGGTGCTTTCACCCTGAGCATGCTTTTTGTTCACCGTGAGCCAGAGGCTCCAGAATAAATCAGATGCAGCATCGCCAACAGAGAAAGCTATTTGGCAAAGCTATTTGGCCGGGTCCCGTCCCAAGTCGATTGCACAAGTGGGCAAAGCTGCACACTGAGCCTTTGGGGAAAGAAAAGGACCTTCAGAAATAGCATTTGCAAACTGAAACAGAACGGCTGCTGCTGTGGTGACAAGCGGGCTGGGTATTGTGGGCC